CAAGAGGGTAACAATTCACATGTTCACTCACAGTCACTTTCCCAAGCTCTGGTTTTCGTGACCAAAAGAAATAATAATATGCAACACATTGAAATAAAATTAAACTGTACATTATCTAAATGATAGCTTAAATGTACTAATTAGTTATTTTTTTTTGAAGACAATAAAATGATGGCAATTCTCAATAGGCAGCTCAGCAGCCTGCATATAAACTGAATGAAAATTTCCTTCTCTTAGCCTCTGCATTACTTGAACCAACTTAACAGAAAACAGAATATTTTCAAAAACATCATGCAATGGAGTTTAAGTTTCTAGAATTTTACATCACGGAAGATATCATTTGAAACATAATAGCTAAATGCCTTCTTCCCTGGTACAGCTTGCTTGGTGTGTTGATAAAAACTAAGATTAATATGCAAAAGGAAACTGTAAGAAACTTGCCCTGCACTGGTCAGCACCAGGCATGTGTGTGCCTCTTCCTATGAGAAAGCAACTGCACCCAGAGAGTGAACATCTGGGTTTGGTTCTCACATCACCACTTCCTTGCTATCATCTTAGGACACTAGCAGCATAGCAAACTTAATTTACCCTATCTTAATGATAAGCAATGAAGCAAAACTAGAAAAAATGCAGTGAAAAAAGGACCTATTTACAGCCCAGGAGGTCCAGCTGGTTGCCAAGTCTCTCAACATCTCCTGGAAGCTACACATCCCCTACCACCCTCAGTTTCCAGGTAAAGTTGAACAGGCTCACAGCATCCTTAAAGACCATTTGGCCAAACTTACGTCTTGGCCCACGCTCCTACCTCTTGCCCTGGCCCTGGTCTGGGCCACCCCACAGGGGCCAATGGGCCTTAGCCCCTTCAAATTGCTGTATGGCCGGCCTTCCCTGGTTTCTCACAACCTCCCTGGCAAAACCGCCCTCACTGGCTTTCTACCTTCCCTTCCTCTGCTCAGCCACCTGCTTAGGAAGCATGCGGACTGCAGCCTCCCTGTTGTTCCAGGACTGGAAAACGCCCACCCAGCGATGCCTCTCCAACCAGGCAACAGAGTTCTCCTCTGAGAGCTCAAACCAGGATCTTTGCAGCCCAGGAATCCTGGACTAAGGGCCCCACCACCAGGACCCATTATCTTGCACAGGCAAACTGCCAAACAGGCAACTGTCAGTCTACTGTCTCCATCCTCATCCCACACAGTAAAAGCGCCGTACTCAGTTGCCATCATGGGTTTCACTTTTGGCATGGGCTGTGTTTTCTATATGATCAAACCAAAAACCACTGTCATTGGTGGAACACCACCTACGGGGGGTGCCCATACAGCTCTTGTGTTATTCACAAGCCACAGCCTCCAAGCTGTCCCAATCACATGCTCACTCACTTCAGCAATGGTTCCTTAGCCCTCAACATCCATGACCCCTGGCACAGCCGTTGGAATGCAGGAGTGTCCAGTAAAGCCTATGAAGATTATACCTAGCACCACCTTAACGGGCATCCCCTTGTTCAAAGTACACTCTCAAAATCTCTCTCTCTCTGCTATGAGGCGGCCAACAGCTCCAGCTGCAACACCACAGTAAAATTAAAATCCTCCCTTTATACGCCTCCAGGGGGATACTTTTGGTGTAATGGGACCCTAACCAAAGTTATTAATGCCTCCTTTCCCTTCCCTTGTGTGCCTGTCACTTTGGTCCTGCAGCTAGCTGTATATGGGCAAGCTGAGTTCCTATCCCTCATCTCACTGTCCCCTAATCACTGTAGCAAACGTGCAGTCTTCCTCCCAATAGTTGTTTACCTCTCCTTAGCTTCCTCTCTAGCAGCAGCTAGAATAGGGAGTGGCGCCCTGGGCTATAGTGTCACTTCAGCTGCCCAACTAGAAGACAAGCTCTGTGTGGCCATTGAGGCATCCGCCGCCTCTCTGGCCTCCCTACAGTGACAAATCATGTCACTGGCCCAGGTAACTCTCCAAAACCGATGGCCCCTAGACCTGCTAACGGTAGAAAAAGGAGGTACCTGTCTGTTTCTTCAGGAGCAGTGCTGCTATTACATCAATGAAACAGGCCTTGTGGAATAAAATGTCAACACTCTCTATCACCTCCAAGAGGGCCTCTGCAAGAAGCAGAACGCATCAATTTCACCTCTCAACTGGTGGCAATCCCCCATGCTTACCTGGCTAACCCCTGTTATCACTCCCATTATCCTAGTTTGTCTTCTGTTAATGCTAGCCCCTTTTTTCCTTAGGTTTTTACAGGCCCGCATAAGGGAAATTTCCAGGGTGGCCGTAAACCAGATGCTGCTTCACCCCTATGTCCGACTCCCAACCGAGGCAGCAGCCAACTGACCCCCCCCTTCACTCCAACCCTACTCAGCAGGAAGTAGCCAGAAGTTTCCTTTTTTTTTTTTTTTTTTTTTTTAAGAAGATTAAATGCCAATTTATTTAACTCCCGGGCGAGGTTCCATGGTCCTGGGGAAAGGGGCCAGGGAAGTCGCACCAACTTCCTGGGGCATGAGTTTTTATAGGTAGGAGGAACGAGCAACAGCTGGGTGCTCTGATTGACTCCAGGGGAGGGGGATTGAGATGGGGCGGGTTTTCCCGTGGGAGAACCAGCCAGGAGCCTTGCATCAGCTGGAGCCTTCCAGGGGAGCCCTGTGGCAGAGCGAGGTGCCAAGTGCAGAGATAGGCGTGTCCAACCTCCCGCCGAGGCAACCGGCCTACAATCTGACCCTTTTGATGATATAGGACACCACTTCTTTCTCGCTACTTCCCGCTGAATAACGGCAAAGTGTGGGAGAAGGGTCAGTTGGCTGGTGCCTTGGTTGGTAGTTGGACACAGAAGTGAAGCAGCATCTGGTTTACGGCCACCCTGGAAATTTCCCTTATGCGAGCTTGTAGCAATCTGAGGACAAAAGGAGTTAGCATTATCAAAAGACAAACAATGATAATGGGGATGATAATAGGAGTCAGCTAGGTAAGCATGGGGGATTGCCACCAGTTAAGAGAAGAGGCCGGTGCATTTTGTTTTCTTTGGAGGTCTTCTTGGAGGTGATAGAGAATGTTGACAACTGTGGCTTGAAGCCTCCCTGAGACAAGACCTTAAAGCAAGTAACACATGCCTTGTGTACCTGCTTAATCATCTGTTGTAGACCTGGTGAGAAAAAGGGGGGGCTGCACAAAGCAGTGCAATGCCTTGGGCCCTATATGTAAGGATTGGTGGATTTCAGTAATAATTTTAGGGGCCTGTTCCCGTGAAAGGGCAATCCTGTCATTTAAGAAGATCCAGCCCTGATCAGACTCAGTTCCTCCTCTTAATATGAGGGCCTGGTTGTCTGATGGTGAGTAAACCAGTGATGTGGCCATGGTGAGGAGCAGGATTGGAGTGGGGGCTAGCCTGGTACTGGTTAAGGATTTTGCTGTTGCATCTGCCCTTGCATTGCCCTGGGAAACAGCATCCTGCTGGGCGACGGTGATTTCTTTGGGCAGTGATAGGGCCTGCAGGAGATTAGAGATTTGGGTAACATTAATTATGGGGGACTCCTTTGTGGTAAGGAATTCCCGCTCTTTCCAGAGGGCAGAGTGGCAGTGGGTAATAAGAGTCAGTATAGATATTTGCTTGATTTCCCTATGCTAGTGTAAGAACTCGGGTTAGGGCAATGAGCTCCGCCTTTTGTGATGTGGTTAATGAGTAGTTCTTGGGCTAGCAGGTGGGTGACAATAGGCTTCAGGCCTTGACAGTGGATTTTTGAGATGGGGAACTAAGGATGTGAGGGAAAGTGGACTGACGGACAAAGGATGGGTGCCCCCCAGATGGGAGACCAGTCTGATGCCTCCCTGGCCATGTCCCGGGAGGGAAGTTTCAAGGCATCTTGGCTAAGGTGTGCCGGTATAACCCCTGGGCCTGGTCACCTCAGAACTTTCAGTCCTGAGGTGAATCACCGTTATGCCTTATGACGTCCCCATGGAACCGCAGGTTGAGGCCCACACAAGCCCCATAGCCATTAGGCCATGGGACTACACATAAACTCACTCACTCACTCCGGATTAGGAAGAGAAACTGAAAGTACAGTTACTTAATAAACGGGAGTTTATATGCCAAAGGGCTGATTTGAGATAGACGTTTTAGTAGTGTAAGCTGGGGATTTGGTCTTGCTGTTAGGCAGTGCCCAGGTTTACAAACAGGGCTTCTGATTACCCAAACCTTGGCCGCTGCTACAGAGACGATCGGAAGGCATCCTGGACTGCACTACTGAACACTGGAGAGGGTTCAGCAAAATGGGGACGTCTCCCTCGGATTCCTGACCCCCAGAAAACCGCTTACGGAGAGAAGACAAGAGTGTAGGAATGTTTCCTCTATGCTCAGATCCTCAGGACAAGGGTCTTGCCAACCAGGAACTGGCTGAGGTGGTTAGTAGAGCTGTGTCAGATGTCTATAGCTGTGTCACGTTGGGAGAAGACCACAGCCTGGCAATCAGTACCATTAGTGGCCATGCCCGACACCGCCCAGACCTTTGTGTTATCTGGGTTGATGCCCATGCTGACAACAACACACCCCTTACCACTTCATCAGGAAATCCCCATGGACAGCCAGTTTCATTTTTCCTCAGAGAACTACAGGACAAGGTACCACAACTCCCAGGATTTTCTTGGATCAAACCTTGTATCTCTTCCCCAAGTATTGTGTATATTGGTCTAAGAGACGTGGATCCTCCTGAATTTTTTTTTGAGATGGAGTTTCGCTCTTGTTACCCAGGCTGGAGTGCAATGGCATGATCTCGGCTCACCGCAACTTCCGCCTCCTGGGTTCAGGCAATTCTCCTGCCTCAGCCTCCTGAGTATCTGGGACTACAGGCACGCGCCACCATGCCCAGCTAATTTTTTGTAGTTTTAGTAAAGATGAAGTTTCACCATTTTGACCAGGATGGTCTTGATCTCTTGACCTCGTAATCCACCCGCCTTGGCCTCCCAAAGTGCTGGATTACAGGCTTGAGCCACTGCGCCCAGCCAGAACATTTTATTTTAAAGAGCTATGATATCCAGTATTTTTCCATGAGAGATATGGATTGACTTGGTAACCAGAAGGTCATGGAACAAACATTTGATCTCCTGATTGGCAAGAGACAAAGACCAATCCAACTGAGTTTTGATATTGATGCATTTGACCCTACACTGGCTCCAGCCACAGGAACTCCTGTTGTAGGAGGACTAACCTATCGAGAAGGCACATATATTGCTGAGGAAATACACAATACAGGGTTGTTGTCGGCACTGGATCTTGTTGAAGTCAATCCTCAGTTGGCCACCTCAGAGGAAGAGGCAAAGACTAGAGCTAACGTGGCAGTGGATGTGATTGCTTCAAGTTTTGGTCAGACAAGGGAAGGAGGGTACATTGTCTATGACCAACTTCCTACTCCCAGTTCACCAGATGAATCGGAAAATCAGGCACGTGTGAGAATTTAGGAGATACTGTGCACTGACATATTTCACAACGGGCATTCCAGAATTATGAGGCATTTGAGGGGACAGATACTAAATGGTTGTCTGGTCAATACTGCCTTAATGAGAATATCTGCATAGTCTCACAATTGTAAAGTTTCCCCTCTGTTTTGGTGACGAATACTACTATAAATGTATTTTTTTTTTGCAGTTCACAGGGTATTAATATGCTACAGTACTATGTAAATTTAAAGAAGTCATAAACAGCATTTATTACCTTGGTATATCAAAAAAAGGAAACTTATGTAAATTAAGTTTCCTTCCTTTGCTATGCTGCTAGCGTCCTAAGATGATACCTTTGTTGAAAGAATTGTGAATAGCATGAGGCAGTGGGAGAAGAAGTGATGGTCATTTCTATGCATTCAGGCTGCCCTTGGGGCTGCCTCCCTTCTTATCCTTCCTTGCTGCACGTCCATCTCTTTTCCTGTCTTTGAGATTGACCTGACTGCTCTGGCAAGAAGAAGGTGCCTTTACAGAGGCCTCTTTATTGACCAACTGAAGTATAGACTTACTGCTGTACAATCTTCATGGGCATCACCTCTTCCCACATGTAACCCAAAAGAGGTGTCCAGAGCCAAGGCTTCTACCTTCATTGTCCCTCTCTGTGCTCAAGGAGTTCCATTCCAGGAGGAAGAGATGTATACCCTAAGCAGATAGCAGAGAAGATAATGGAGGAGCAATTGGTGATGGCCTTGGTTTCCCTCAAAGCAATGCTGCAGATTTATCTGCACAAACATCTGCACTTTTGGGGTAAAGGTGGGTAGATTCTAGCTCTCTGGACTACCTTCAGGAGGCACAAGAGCTGGGAGAAGAGGCAAAGCTACAGGTTTACCTGGGAGACAGCTGAGAATAGAGCAGACTTACAGGCGCTGGTGCTTGGATTTAGCCAGGCTCCTCTGAGCACCTCATGCATGTCCCAGCCCCTGGGCCCTAGCCCTTTCCTGCCCTGCAGTCTGCAGTGCCAACATGCAGATCCCTTTACCACAGGGTTTCGTTTTGCTGGTTTGAAGACATATGGTCTTTATCGAGACCCATAGCTTCATATGGCTGCTCCAGCCCTACTTCTTAGCATTCTTACTCCTCTTCTGGGGATAATGTCAGCATCTATAGACAATAGGCTATGAAGAAAAATCACATTTTAAACAAGAAAAGGAAGGCATTTGATGCAGAATTTTTGCATGACATAGAAATAATTTAAAAATAGTGTTTGTTCTGAATGTTGGTAGACCCTTCATAGCTTTGTTACAATGAAACCTTGAACTGAAGATATTTAATAAAATAACCTTTAAACAGTAAAGGTTGATACGTAGGTAAAAAGAGAGTGACATAGACTCATTCTTGTCTTTTCCAAAGTTACAGAAATAGAAAAAAAAAGGAAAAAGGAAACCACTACAAAACTATAATATTTCACAGACATAACACAAAAAACAGTTGAAGTGTAGAAAATAACCTAACGAATCAGACAATGTAGTGCACACTTATTACCCAGGCTGATCTCAAACTCCTGGCCTCAAGCAATCCTCCCACCTTGGCTTCCCAAAGTGTTGGGATTACAGGCATGAGCCACAGCACCCAGCCCAGATTCTTTCATTAGTATATGAAATATGAACTGTTTAAAAACTGTCTGCCAGATATCAGGGTAAGTATTGGTTATACAAAGGCAAACTACAAAGATCACTCAAAAGCCCCAAATTTATACTTTATACACTACATTGGCCATACACATGTAAATGGTGATTTTGTAAGCTTGCCTCCAATGATTTAGGTGGAATAAATCTGCGGCAACATTCACACTCAGTAAAATAAAGAATATGATCAATTTAATTATGTCTGCTGGGGCACAGGATAAGCATGGAAAAGGGGAACTATAAAATCGAAACTGTGTCAAGAATGTTTGCCACCTCTGATTTAGCCAAAAGGTTTGATGTTTTGTGTAGGTATCGTGTGAAGAAAAGTATGCCCAATACATTAAAAGTTTATGGTGAATTTTTATGTCCAGAAAAATGTGTGTATAATCCCATAAGGGGCTTAGAGAGGAAAGGAAAATATCTGCAATATAAATGCAGATTACCTTTATTACAAAGTTGGATCATATTCTCATTCCTAGACTAATTTCCTATATCATAAAACCTATATTCAATTTTATAAATAGCATACACCAAGAATCATAAATTGAGTTAATGCAGAAATTTAACAGATTTATTTAAATAAAAGTGAGAAAAGGCTGTTTTAGAGAAAATATCTGAAAGGACAGAAAGGGTTCTTTCTTTGGAGATAGGTTTTTCCCTCTGACTCTATATATCTTTAGGGACATAACCAGAGAAGAAATAAATTTGACAGCTAATACATATGAAGTAACATGTTTAATATTATCCAATGAATTTATATCTATCTATACCATATAAATTTATCTCACATAAGCTGTCACCTCCAACAGAATTCATTAAAACAATGTTATAGCTTCTGAATCAAATGGAATCTTTTAATTGGAATTTAATCTTAAAATAGGAGTTGGTGGATTTTCTTTTTCAATTGACAAATGGAATAATTCATTAGTTTGTCTTCAAGTTTTGTCTGAAAAACTTAAAAGCAAATTTGACACAGGGATGGGCTGACCACTGCTGTGTGGTACTAGGGAATTGGGATGGGGGTGTGGATATTCTTTCATCGTCTGCTGAACACCTCCTGCTGCTTATGGGCAGGAAGGGATGGACACTGTCTCTCACCATCATGAATTACTACATTACTAATATATTCCATTACCTCCACATAAATGTCATGTTAATTTCTGATCTTCATCAAGCCAGGTAATGGTTTCCACCTTGGCCCCTAGCCAGTTAGCTATGTGGAAAATATTTAGACAATTACATTATTCATATTGGGTTAAGAACTAGAGAGAAAGGTAAAATAAACGCATTGAAAATACTTCACAGATAAAATGTAAGTTGACACCGTCCTCGCATGTGGGAGCCCGAGTGATGCAACCTGATAGGCAGCTGCCAGCACTCATCACTGCTTATTAAACCTAGCCTCTCTTTATGGTGTGAGTGAAGATCTGTATTTTTACCAATATTGGGTTCATTTTGTTATGAAAGAGACCAAAATACTTAAGATCATTCGCTCCAGCTTATAAAACATATTATGTAGTTTATTAAATTGTTGAAATTACTTTACAAGGTCAAAATTCCAAAGACTGGAAGTTTAAGCACAACACAGTGGGTTGGTCCCCAACAGGCTGCAGCACAAGGCAGACCAGAAAGGAAACCTGTCAGCTGGCTCTCCTGGCCCAAGGTGCCTGCCAGCCACACATACCTTCTGGATGCTGCATCACCACCGCCCCACCCCAAAACCCGTCACAGAAAGTCCATATTCTAGAGTTTTATTTTAAAAAGAAAGAAACTTCCAGCCAAAAGGTAGCCCTTCACGAAGTCTTCAGTGAGAAGGATGCATTTTCCCATGTTTTTATCTCTTCCTAGTAAGTCAAAAGGTAGCAATTTGATTGTAAGAGAGATCAAAAGAGGAAGGCTGAGCAAATAAGGGGAAACAATTGTGAGCAAATAACACACAATGAATGTCACATGACGCTTATGTCTTTTCATCAGATCTATCAGCAAGGGACAAATTATTGGTAGAAACCATGCAATGACAGGGCAGAGATGAACAAATAAGCTAGCACATTCACCATCTCTCTAGTCAGCCCTTCTCAAAAAAACTCTATGCAAATGCAAATTGTTATGATCACATTTATTAATAACACTATGGCTGACTGCCTATTCAATATGTAGCAGGCATTGCCACGCTGCATTCTGGAAGTCCTGTGATGTGCATCCTATAGCTACCAGTGTCAACTAAAGCTTCATACCAGAAAACAGGAGCCCACTCCAACTCCTTCCTGGTGAACGGTGGCATTAAAGAACCACAGCACAAAGAGAAACACGAAGTGCTCAGCCCTTCTTCCTCTGTCTCCTGCCTCTAAGTTAATTTATTATGCAAGCATAGTTATTGCCAGCATCAATCGAGTACATTTCCCATCTTCTGACCTTAAAAAAATTGGCCATAATGATCTATTTGTGCAAACCTTTTATTTCATGGTTTCATTTCCTTGAGTTTGATTGAGGCAATTTGTTGTTCTGGCTGCCTACCTCTGTGATTCTGACCCTGGTCTACCAGGAGGACACTTACCACGAAACGCTTCACTCAGAATTAGAGTTTATTTCAAGCCTAAAGACTCCAGATTATCAGCTGTAACAATTAATTGGTGCTCCTTTTGGTTATTCAATAAACTGTGAAGTTCTAAAAGGCACAGGACTGTGAACAAATGTTTGACAATGGAAGACCTAATTATCAGGTCCATAATGCATGGAAGGCCAGTCACTGCAGCACCCAGGGAGAGAGTCAGTCCTTTGAGTAAGCCTTGGAAATGCACCTTGAGAAAAAAATGTGGCTGGATACAGTGGCTCACGCCTGTAATCTCAGTACTTTGGGAGGCTGAGGCGGACAGATCACTTGAGGTCAGGTGTTCGAGACTGGCCTGGCCAGTATGCTTAAAACCCTGTCTCTACTAAAAAATACAAAAATTAGTTGGGTGTCATGGTGGGCACCTATAATTCCGACTACTCAGGAAGCTGAGGCAGGAGAATAGCTTGAACCTAGGAGCTGGAGGTTGTAGTGAACTGAAATTGTGTCACTGCACCCCAGCCTTGGTGACAAGAGCAAAACTCTGTCTCAAAAAAAAAAAAGAAAAGAAAAGAAAAGAAAATGAGGGGGATAGAAAATCAGAACATGTGGTCCAGCTCATAGGATTTTGGAGACCTTTACCGTTTACTAAAAAATACAGAGAAGGGAAGTTTTTTACAGTCTGATAAATACTAAGAACTTCCTTATTTTTAAAAAAAAAAAAAAAAAACAAATTTGTATTCCACTAGGCCTAAAAGTCTATTTTTCCAAAACAGGTATCATTTTCATTATAGTTCTTCAGATTGATTTTTCAAATAATGGGCCAAACCCAACTGAAATTAATGAAAAAAATGAGCCTCGTTTTCAACAAATCCATTCATGTGGTTTTGTTAAATTTCATACATCAATTTTATAACAGTAAGATTGAGTCAGACTCTCTCAATACCAAAGACAGAGATGACAGGTAACCAAAAACCTATGTTTGTTGTTATTTCAATACTTCAGAATTCTAAACACTTTCATGAATTCTCATGTGTACACAAAATAGAC